AATTGCGCGACCTTGAGTCATGAGGTCGAATTGTCAGTTGTACCGCAGAGCGTCCTCTCCCCAAACCGAAACGGATTGAGACCTGAACATCATCGCAATCTTCAAATTTTTCTTGGCAAATATTTTTTCTTTTAATTTTATTAGTGAACGTTCGCAATAAAACTCAGGCAACGCGCCTGTTAATAAATCTTAATCAAATTAAACTATAACACACTAATAACGTTGGACATAATTTCTTTGAATTTTACAATTGAATTATTACATTTTTTTTTTTTAAAAAGTAAGAAGAACGTTTTAAAAATTACGCTACATAATTTCGTTACTTAAAATTAGTTTAAAAACATGACATTTATCTATAATATTATAAAAATAATAACACAAACAAAAAGTATTGACTTACTGTATATACAATACACTGTGGACAAGTAGTGAATAATTCTATAATAATTTTATTAAAAATATTTGTAAGAAAATATCTCTTGCTCTTTTTTATTATTGGATTTTTTATAGAACACCCGCATGATGGTGACAAGCAATCTACCATCTACCATCAACAGCGGACTATATGGAAAGACATTTCTCGACTTGAACTTTTGACATACTGTCTCCTGATACAATAACGAATACCACTAAGCTACTTAGCACACGCATTCACGCAACACGATAATTCTGTCTAAAAAATAAAAAAAAAAACCCTTAAAATTATTTATAAGCGTATTTGAAAATCACACGATTTTTCTTTAACAAAAAAAAAAAAAACTAAAATAGTTATAAAAATCTCTTATAAAAATTACAAATCTACAGCTATCGTACCTAAAATACATATAAATACGTTGATATTTTTACAATATTACGACTTTAATAAAATGACAAAAGCTCAACCATTCTCACACATTAAAACTTACATAATTTTTACAGTAACTTTATTTACAAAAAAAAAAAAAAAAACCTTAAGAAAGTTAAGAAATATTAATCTGCGAATAAAACTGCTTAACGTTTTGACGAGTGACGTTATCGGATATCAATTTAATAAACAGCATTAACAATGTCAACGGACTGTCCGTACTGTTGACCTAGGACGCAAACTCTTCAATTTTGGGGACACAAGTGAGACTCGATCACAGATTAGTATTTCGTTGTTTGAATAAAATTTATACGAATCGTGATTAAATGCTAGAAATTGAGCGAGCGCGGTTTGAGAGCCGTCTTCCTCAGGAACTGGTGGGCTAACATCGTCAATTCCACTTGATCTTGGGTCTTACCGCAGGCGTATTGCTCCCACTTACTGTCGCTCTATGGGAACATCACGTAATCAGTGGCCTTTTGTAGGCAGACGAGCATACGGCCCACCTGGGGAGTGGTTACTGTCGCCCATGGACATCAGCAATGTCAGGGGCAGAGCCAAGCCGCTGCCTACCGTTAAGTACTCTCCGCAAGCCTCGTTTTGAAAGACATGTCAAAGCGCTCGGGAAACTCCCTAGAGAGGTACTCATTCCAAAACCTAGTACTGAACGTAAGACACTAAGATAATGCACCAGTAATGATGTCAGTCATCGATTGAACTTAAAACCGACCGAAATTGTCTACACAAAGCTGTAGGTAGACATCGACTTGGCTTGAGCTCTGAACATTGCTGATGTCCCTGGGCGACGGTGCTCATTCACTTTCAAGCGAGCCGTGGAAAAGAAAATGCGCTTAATTAACTAACCGAATTCAATAATTAAAATTTAATAATTCCCTAAAAATATGTATTTTTCTATTCGCTTGTAACACTAATATCGCCATACTACATAACGTCATTAAGATCTGATCCTGATCTGTAATAAGTGTTTTTGCTAAGTTAAGGGTTACAGGATATTTCCACACGGTAAGTAAATCTTCTATCATGGACATCATCAATATCAGAATCATAACCGTACCACTGCTTACAGCATACTAGAAATGTCAGGGTCATAACCGTACCATTGCTTACAGCATACTAGAACCATCAAGCATAAAAAATTTGGCGCTTGCAACTTGGTACACTTGAAAGAAGTGAAACTTCTTTTGCGGTGTGTAATATTGTAGTTTTCTTCATTTTTTATCCTTACATCAAATTTCTCTTGTAATAAGGAATGCTGTGTATAAGAGAAACGTCCTAGCTCGTTATGTCCTTTCCATCTCTCCACAGTCGAGTGGCTCGCGAGACGCTCTGTCTATTTTCTCACTCTCGCTCATCCTAAATTGTATCTTCTCTTTCTAGCCGTAACGAATCTGTCGCGAGTTAAATTTTACTCTCAAAATGCCTAAAGAAGTTTCACTTCAAAACATCTAAAAGACGCATCTAGTGCCTTAGACCCTTCTGCAGATAATACAACGCAACAATTAAATAAGTTTAATTTAATTAAAATGATACAAACCATTATAAAGGATATTTCCTCTGCGGACTCATTGTCGGGTTGGTCGTCTTCGAACCGTATTGACCGGACGGCGGATCTTTTGACCGTCACCGAGGTGCCGTCGTCGCCAATCTAAAAACGGTAATCGTCAACTGAGAGCCAAGTACGTTGGCTACACGCGTCTTATACAGGGTGTTCACTTAAAAAAAGATGAAATGATCCACCCAGAAGTTTCATTGATTTCTAAATAGTTCGTTTAATAATAATTATAATAATTGGCATGTTGATTCAACCATCATTGTTCCCATAGTTGTATCGGTACACGGTTTGATATCAAAAAGTTTCGATCAACACCTTGAGAAAGTTTCGTTATCCAGCTGGGTTAGGGGCCTGATACAGAAGGCAGTTATCCTCGATACTGCACGCATTGTGAGGAGGTTTCTCACTCTGGAGTCCTAACTACTGGTTGCTTGTATCGTAGACACCGCCATCAGCGGCAATCTATTTTTATATTATATGGGTTTTTTAAAAATTCTATTTTTAATATCTCTTTGGATGGCGCCATTTACGTTGTAGACGTCTATGGACTCCGGTAGCCAGTTAACATCAGGTGGGCCGTGAGCTCGTCCACCCATTTAAGCATATTTTTTTTAAGCCGGCTTGAGGCATGAGGTCACTGAGTCACAGATGTGTTGTAAAAGCCTGCCTCGCCCTTCAAATTCGACGCGTGACTCATTTGCGGGTGGTGGTACCCTTGCGGACTCTGGGCACAACTAAGAACACTCAAATTCAATTAAGACAACATTCCTGCTTAAAACATATCCCCTCTTAATTAATACATATACCCTTAGCAGTTTCAAAGTAGACAAATAAAAAGGCAGCGGGTTTATTAAAAATAAAAATCAACAAATATAATATTTCTTAAATACGTTTATTGAAATAAAACAATGACATTGGATTTTAAACGGACTTTGGATCATTCGGACTCACAATACAATATTGACAGCTGACTAAGCTAAGAGTCAATAAATAAGAAAAAATAATAATTAAAAACACAAAAATGCTGTCATTTACAATGAAAAAAAATATATTAAAAACTATTACAGAAAAATAAATTAAAACAATTTCTCTTAAATAAATTAAACAAAAAAAAACATACAACAACAAAACAGCGATAACAATAAAAATAAAAGGTTTTTTTTTATTTTTTATATATTCAAGATCCCAACACTGGTCTGTCAATATTGTTGGAAAATGAGGGATAAATGTATGTGTATAGAGGAGCTTTTAGGAATTTCAAGGACTGTGATTTATGTCATTTGTTTATTCCAAATAAATGTATTCTTAAGTATAGCTGCCGATTTAAAAATATCTACAAATTTAACAAAAAAAAAAAAAGAAAAATACAAAATAAATATAAAAATATTCACAACTGAAAGTGAACCGGTGATAATTTTAAGTTTAGTAAATCACATTTTACAGGCGTTAATTACAAAGCAATTGGATTAATAAATATTACGGGGTTAGGGCATAACATTACATTACCGAAAAGGATAAATTAGTTTTAAACCGAGAGACAGAGAGAAAATCCTAAAATCAAATTTCCCCCGATGATACACCTCGATGAGGTCCCTAATAATACTTCGAAAACTTATTTTTAAGGCTAGTAACACTAAAGAATTATTTAAAATTTGGTGCATGGTAAACTTGAGGTATTCTAAGTGTCCTATACTAGTCGACGACCGTCACATAAATACGCAAGCATACAGTTCAATTAAAAGATGTACTAAGTACGCATGTGTATAATGGCTTAATTGCGCAATACGCGCACGTGCCAAGTGCAGCATAGAGTCGCACGTCAAAGAATCGTTACACGTTCTTTATACAAATTTTCGAGCTTTGATTATTTTTCGATATTTTTTCGAGCCATGATTAATTGTAAAAATTCAGCTTTTTTTATTTCTTATTCATAGTGGCGAACCTTAGAGGAGGCCTATATCCAGCAAAAGTTCGGTTGAAAAAGCTTCAGAGCTCGCAGCCAAGATCTTTATCTTTGTTTAGATTAATTAAGATAAAGTAAATTAGAATTTTTATTTAGATTTAATGACAACAAACTGATTTTCTTTTGATCATTTTTTTAAATTATTCATTTATCTGGTCACACCAAAAGGATATAGCTTCTAAATCGCGTATAATAGTAGAATGTGAACGCAGCCATTTTTTTAGTATTGCAACACACAATTTTGACGTACAAAAGATTTTAGTATTTGTTTAACGGATACATTAAATTCAAAACAACTATTCATTTGATGAATGCTCATCTTTGGCTTAGCTTATATCCTAACATTCAAGATGTTCCCTAAAATTTAAGCAATAGTAGGGTACTTTAGTTCTTTTAATTAAATAAATCAATTAAAATTAAGTTATTTTAATTAAAAGTTTCAAATCGAGTTTGTATTGCTTATTTTCTATGTATATTATTTACATTATGACTTCTCATACGTTTGGTGCGAATTCGAATCGAGATTTTACGATTAAATACCGCCATTTTAAATGTACTTTCATGATTATTAAGAATAATTATTAATGTTGTTCTTCTTTTTTTTATTTTTATATCTGGTAACATTTGATATTTACAAGACGAAGTTTTAGTCATTTTTTTACGGCCTTTGGATTCGGTCTTTGTATCTGTTATTATTTATTTTAACCCGCATTTTTATTAACTCACGTAACGTCATAGGTTAATCACAACGAGTGATAAATGATACAGCTCTTACAAATTGTACGATCACAACCTTATTTGACTTATTTAAACTAATGAAACTATCACAATTATTAGAATAAATAAAAATAAAAAATTATGTGGATTACTTTCTCAAGTAGTCTGTTGTATATATTGATTTTCAATTATTTCTCGAATAAAACAATGATTATTGAATTGCAACCTAATGCAGCATGCAATCAGAGCTCATGTTCACTAGACACTTATATACATACGGGCATTCCAAAATAGTATTCGCATGCTCAAGATAGGTTCAGTATAAACGCGAGGGAGTCATTTTTGCTCAACTAATTTCTAAGAAATTTCAGAGTAACTATTTTAGTATTTACTGACTTCGGAGTCGAAGAGACTAAAAGCTACTAAAGCTACTAAACTCTACCGAGAGACGTATCCTACGAGCCACGACTGTACCGCTTAAGAAGTCCTACATTTTTTCTTTTTATTGCCCTTGTAGGCAGACCAGCGTACGGCCCACCTGGTCATGAGTGGTTACCGTCGCCCGTGGACTTCAGCAATGCCAGGGGCAGAGCCGACCCGCTGTTTCACAACACTAGACTCTAGTGTTGATCCCAAATTCTCGAAACATCGATCCGAATACATTATTATTTCGATTCGATCGGCAGGGGGTGGGCTACATATCGTCGAACGCGTAGTAGGTGTCGAGCGTGTCCCCCTGCCCTGTGTCGCGGGGGGCCGCCCACCAGGTGTCGCGGTCGGTTCGCGGTGCCTTGTTGGCGAGGATGTCGTCGATCCTGGTGGCGCAGGGTCGCTGGCTGGTCACCCTGTATATGTGGTCGGCCAGCGCGTGGGCTAGTGCGTCTCTAGGCGCGAGGGGGGGCGGCCCGGCTATGGCGCGCAGTCTCTCAGCATCTAGTCGCGCGAATGTGCGGGAGGGGGCCGAGTTAGTGACGTCCCTGAAGGGCTGGTACTGGCACGCTAAGGGCTCCGGGGGGTCGGGCGGGGGATTAGTAGGGACAGACCCGTGCCGTACCTTGGTCGTCTCGCTGATGACGGACTCGATGTCCAGTTGCGCGTCGGGGGTGCTGTCCGCGCTCATGTAGCTGTGCAGGCTGGTGGATTCTTCCAGCAAGGAGTGCTTGACGATAGACGGCGGCGAGAACAGCACCGAGCTGTCTCCGACCAGGGTCTTACTCTGTGACAAACATTTCATTAGTCAGGGTAGGTCGGTGTGATCACTGTTGAGGGGATCATTGGTGGTACCAACCGCCCCGCCTATTTCTGCCGTGAAGCAGTAATGCGTTTCAGTTTGAAGGTCGGGGTAGCCGTTGCAACTTATACTTGAGACCTTAGAACTTATATCTCAAGGTGGGTGGCGCCTTTACGCTGTAGATGTCCATGGGCTCCAGTAACCACTTAACACCAGGTGGGCTGTGAGCTCGTCCAGCCAGATACGGAGTGCGGCTCTAGTACTGGGGGGCCGTCCCACGAGCCCGCGCATACGTACGGGCGTCTCGAGCGCGTCGTGTCTGGGCGTGCTGGTGGCGGCGCCCCAGGAGGCGGCCAGCGCCTTCCGTGCGCGCTTGTGCGTGGCGGCCAGGTTCTCCTTGCCGTCGGCCCGCCCGTCCAGGCTGTGCCGCTTCAGGCTGCCGATGCCGGAGTCGTTACCCTGCGTCAGATTTGTACCGTCAGCAGCGACATTCTTAAACCAAACTTAAAATTTTATTTATTCAATGACTAGCTGATCCGGCAGACTTCACAGTGCCTCAATCGATAAATAAAAGACCTAAACTTTTGTGTAAAACAAACTTCAAACAAACAAAATGAATCCGTCCGACGAGGAACACATCAAAGGAAAAACAAAATTGTTATTTTTATTTAATTCCGAACGTTTTCATATTTATCTACCTGTTAAACCTTCTCTGGACTTCCACAAATAATTCAAGACCAAAATTAGCCGAATCGGTCCAGCCGTTCTAGAGTTTTAGCGAGACTAACGACAAACAATTCATTTTTATACATATAGAAGAAGATAGAAGACTAGCAACCCGCCCTCGCTTCGCTTCGGAAACATTACATTGTATTATTGATAGCTGAGTCCCGCGATATTACTCGCGGTTATTGTCGTACAGGGGGCGACACCGCGGAGCGAAGCTTGTCTAAAAAAGTAGCCTAAGTTATTCTTTATTTCATCAGCTACCTATTAGTGAGTCTCATCAAAATCGGTCCAGCCGGTCCAGAGATTAGCCGGAACACACAGACAGACAGACAAAAATCTTAAAAAAATATATTTTGGTGTATGTACCGTATATACATTCATATGCATGTAGTAAAAAGCGGCTATTTCCATATTGAAAACAGACACACCATTTTATTTATATATATAGATTCAATGATATTTTTTCCCTGTTCCTCACTGACAGGGGGCGGAGGGTTGACAAGCGGCGATGGTGTTACAATGATTGAATGCGACGTGCTTTATATTTTAGAGTATTTGAACACGGTATCAGCTTAGCTGTGCCTCAGACACTGTCAATGTCGGAAGAGAAGATTGAGAGGAGTCCACTAACCTGGGCGCCCCCCTCGTGCTCGGCGGCGCAGGAGAGCAGGGAGTCGCTGAGCTGCACGGTGCTGTCCGACTTCTCCTCCCGCTGGATCATCTCCGTGATGTCCTCCACCAGGAGTCCGGGGCTGGACGGCTCGTACTTCAGACCGGACTTCTTGCCTATTTCCGCCATCGCGATCTTGAACGGGGTCGGCGTTCTGGAAACACGTATCACAAAAGATTGAAGTCGTCGTGGCCTAAAGGATAAGACGTCCGGTGCATTCGTATGTAACGATGCACCGGTGTTCAAGTCCCGCAGGCGGGTACCAATTTTTCTAATGAAATACGTACTCAACAAATGTTCACGATTGACTTCCACGGTGAAGGAATAATAACGTGTAATAAAAATCTAATCCGCAAAATTATAATTTGCGTAATTACTGATGGTAGAACCTGTTGTGAGTCCGCACGGGTAGGTACCACCGCCCTGCATATTAGGGCCGTGAAACAGTAATGCGTTTTGGTTTGAATAGAGGGCAGCCGTTGTACTGTTAAAAATGAGACCTTAGAACTCATGTCTCAAGGTCGATGGCGGCATTTACGTTGTAGATGTCTATGGACTCGTTTTAAAAATATGATATAATTTAAAAAAAAAACATCAATGGTGTCACTAGTACTATCGTCTGTCTTCGTTTTCGGAAGCGGTCTCCTAACACCCAGTACAAATAAGAGACGTCCGTCGGTACTGACTTGGGAGTGTTGGTCTTGAACCTGTTGACGTGCACCGGGGTGATGTTGTTGGCCGGCGTCGGCGTGTGCAGCAGCGGGCTCGAGCTCCACTCCTGCAACACAACGAGCCCTTGGTGAGTGGCGCGCGGGGGGCGGGGGGCTGGTGGCGGGGGGTTGGGGGGCGGCGTACCTTGGCATGCGCGTCCCGAAGCGGGGTGGAGTCCGCCGCGTGCAGCGCCAGGGGGGAGTTGAGGAACTGCGAGGGGGAGAACGGCAGCGCCTTCAGCGGGGTGGCGCCGAACTCAGAAAGCTTGCTCATCGACTCCATCCAGTTCTGAAAGTGTACATCGGACGTTAATTACCATGAGGTGGTGGATATCTGGCGGTGCGCGTCGTTTGCACCTGGTGTTAAGTGGTTACTGGAGTACCGGCGGAGTGACGGTGGTACNAGGGGGGAGTTGAGGAACTGCGAGGGGGAGAACGGCAGCGCCTTCAGCGGGGTGGCGCCGAACTCAGAAAGCTTGCTCATCGACTCCATCCAGTTCTGAAAGTGTACATCGGACGTTAATTACCATGAGGTGGTGGATATCTGGCGGTGCGCGTCGTTTGCACCTGGTGTTAAGTGGTTACTGGAGTACCGGCGGAGTGACGGTGGTACCTACCCGCGCAGACTCACAAGAGGTCCTACCACCTCTCGACCTGGTACTCACGTTGGGGTTAGGCGTCATCTGCTTCTTGTTCTTCCGCCTCAGGATGGGGGGCGGGGAGTTCGCGTCCGGCAGCTTCCGGCCCGGCGACGTGTACACTTCCGGCACCACTATCTCCTGCAGCTCCTTCTGGTGCATCGAGAAGGACACTGTGGGACAGACGTCGGTCAGTCAGCGGGACCTAGGGTCGGCGAGGCGAGTGTTTCTACCACAAAGCATATGTAGTATAGTACATAATCACACCTTTAGAATTATAGAGAACCATTTTGAGATTTTCAGATTTCGAATTTAATTCAAAAATGGACCCAGAACGACCTTTTTCAGGGACTCTTAATAGTCAAATGACCAATTTTTTCTAAGGGATTTTATGACCTGGTAACTAGGACCTTTAAGTGAAGTCTTATTTTAATTTATATTTTTATATTTATAAAAAATGATAATATGGAGTGACATGAAATGAAATGATGATGATTAATTTGAGACATTAATCTACTGGGTTGAAATTAAATGAAATGGATCCCGAGAAGTTACGTCCAGCGGCTTCATTTCATTTTCCCACATTTGTGCACTTTCACAGATATTAAATAGTTAATAAACCACCGTTATTACACATTTAAACCTGAAGAAACACTAAATAGACAAAATAAAATAAATCACACAACTTCACTCCTCGCGTTCCCGCCAAAGTCTCAAATGACCAAAAGCAGCTTAGAAAGGGACAAACTTATCCATCGGTCTCCTTCACTCCGTCTCTTTCCTCTACGTCTTTTCGGTTTGTAAACTTTATTTGACGTTTTCCAAAAACACATTTTTTGGGTCTCTATAATTCTTCAAGTGCGATATAAGTCATGTAATTCGTAATAATCAAGTAAGTAATATTAAACCAACACTCGTACAAGACAGTTGTTTTCATTCGAACTACAAACTCCCTTGATGGCAACCCTGTCTTGTTTGGATCGAGCAACGCGGCGTCTCAAATTTCGGCTTTAAGACTAGTGTAGTACGTTCGAAAATGATATAATACTATTAAAGGAGAGTTACCGTCATATCTGCTCGTATGCAAGAGAAACAGTTGTGAAAAAAAGAAACATGTGCATGTGCAATTCACACGTGTTAGAAGTGAAACCTTCAAAAATTTTAAATACAATTATCCTAAATGTCTATGTAAAATTTTGTCATTAATAAATAATTGTAAATCATATTTTATAGTATGAGGCAGCGCCCTCTGTGAATTGATATTTTAATTTCACGTATAATCGTAAATTAAAATTCACTACAAGAGGTTTCATACGCACGTTAGTATTAAAAAATCTCATAGATGGCGCTGTTTTAAAAAAAAACACTACGGACTTATTTTTTCGTTTCATCACAACGATCCTAAAGAAGTTTCACTTCAACTAAGAAGAATGTACGTAATACGCACTGGAGTCTCCGCCAGGGTCGGCCGTCGCGGGGGCTTGGCTCAGGTAGCCCTTGAGCGGCGAGTCCGTCGGCAGGTTCTCGATGTTCACGAACCTGTAACGAGGGTTGTGCTCATCAAAATCATGATCGTTCTACTGACCCGATCCGATATTCCAATACACATCATTTAAATAACCGAACCCTCCTCAGGGAAGTAAAAAATAGTTTTTTTTATAGCTTAGATGGGTGGACGAGCTTACAGCCCACCTGGTGTTAAGTGGTTACTGGAGCCCATAAACATCTACGACGGTAATGCGCCACCCACCTTGAGACATACGTTCTAAGGTCTCAAGTATAGTTACAACGGCTGCCCCGCCCTTCAAACGGAAACGCATTACTGCTTCACGACAGAAATAGGCAGGGTGGTGGTACCTACCCGCGCGGACTCAGAAGAGGTCCTACCACCAGTAAATATTTGTGTATTATGAGCCCACTCACTTGAAGGGAGAATCAACGATCTCTGCGTCGGCGGCCACGAGCCCGGCGCGGCCCGGGGACTCCGGACGAGGCTGCTGCTGCAGGTTCGTCAGCTGGTTCTTCAGCACCTGGCGGAAGTGGAGCATCTGCTTCGAGGGCTGGCTCGTACTGGACGCGTTGCTCTGGGTTGACTCGTTGAACGGGTCCGACCAGGTTTGCTGAAATTCAAGACAACCAGTTAATCTAAGACATAGAGGGCAGACGTCAACCAGACGGTCAGATCTAGGTATCAGATAGGACCTCTTCTGAGTCCGCGCGGGTAGGCCACCACCCCGCCTATTTCTGCCGTGAAGCAGTAATGCGTTTCGGTTTGAAGGATGGGGCAGCCGTTGTAACTATACTGAGACCTTAGAACTTATATCTCAAGGTGGGTGGCGCATTTACTTCGTAGATGTCTATGGGCTCCGGTAACCACTTAACACCAGGTGGGCTTTGAGATCGTCCACCCATCTAAGCGATAAAAAAAAAGATCTGGTTAAGAGAGCGGTTGGTGGTAGTCTATACTGTGTGGTCCAAGCCATCTATGACCGGACACAACGGAGTAAGGTCACATGTGGTCGCAACCTTCAATAGTGAAGGAACGATAAAGAAGACAACCACATGCCAACGAGACCGATGTCTCAATTGCAATACGAACACCGCCCCACCCTTCACATCGGAACGCGCATGCTTCGTGGCCACAACGGGTAGAGCATGTTGCCTAAATGTGAGAGTTCAAAATAATAATATGAATATGCATGACGGCGCCAGAAATAGCTGAGCGGCAGTTTCGTCATCATTTGTAGTCGGTACAACTCAGTGTATTGCAATCTCAGTGTACTGACTGATTGACAGACTGACTGACTGAGACTGACTGACTGAGACTGACTGACTGAGACTGACTGACTGAGACTGACTGACTGAGACTGACTGACTGAGACTGACTGACTGAGACTGACTGACTGAGACTGACTGACTGACTGACTGAGACGACTATGTCCACGTACCGCCATTTTATACTCTGGCGTTACGGCGTCTACCCTAAATTTTTGTGATATTTATCAAAACAACATTTTATCATTTAAAATAATAATCAAAACAATGTCTTTATATTACTAAAGTCGTTATTCACGACATGTAAAATAAGCTTGTAAAGACTCATTCGAATTGTAAAAAAAAATTTTTTTTTTTTTTTTTATTGCTTAGGTGGGTGGACGAGCTCACAGGAGCCCATAGACATTTTCAACGTAAATGCGCCACCCACCTTGAGATATAAATTCTAAGGTCTCAAGTATAGTTACAACGGCTGCCCCACCCTTCAAACCGAAACGCATTACTGCTTCACGACAGAAATAGGCGGGGTGCTGGTACCTACCCGCGCGGACTCACAAGAGGTCCTATCACCAGTAAAATCGGTGAGACTGTGAGCGTGCGGTAGTACTCACGTCGATGTAGGAGACCTGGACGCGCTCGTCCGCCGGGGCGGCGGCCGGGGCTCCGTCGCTGAACCGAGCCTTCGCCTTACCCTTCCGCCTTTCGTGCGTGTCCAACAAGTCCATGTCGTATTTACGACGCATCGTCGAATTCCAGTGATTCTTTATTGCGTTGTCCGTTCTGAAAGCAATATAATTTTTAATACGCTAATATAATTTTTATTAATTAGCTTCAGACGTATGTATGTTTGTAACGGAATCTTTGAACATGATTTTGACCCCCATCAAAACGTCGGATTAACTCGAAATTTGGCAAACTTATTAAGGACCGATGATAATTCAATATTTAAAAAAAATATCGAAATTCAACTAAAAAATGATAAATAAATAATAGTTTAAAAGAACTAACAAAATACGATTTTATAGAAAATCCAACTAAAAAATAGAAAATAAATTTTAGTAAATTTGAATTAAAAATAGTGTAAGAAAAAATTATTTTATTATAAAAAAAGCATGGGGTGCATGGTATCAGTAGTTATAAATATTTTATGAACAGATATGAGTAGAAGGGTTATTTTTAGAGGCTCTACGAAGTGTTCCAGGTCCGCTAGTTTTTCATAAAAATAAGAATATAAATTAAAATAAGACATGACTTAAAGGTCTTAGTTACCAGGTCATAAAATCCCTTAAAAAAAATAAGTTGACGTACCGTCCCGGCAACAGCTTGGCGATCTTCGCCCACTGGTTCCCGAGCTGCTGGTGGGCCTGATATATCACTCTGTCCTCGTGTTCCGTCCACGCAGTCTTCTTTATACAGGGGTTCAGATGATTGTGCCATCTCTCTCTGCAAACAAAATAACGTTTACAGTACACCGCGATTCATCTATTTCCTTTTACATTTGATTAGTTCGGCGCTATCAATTTTCATGTTGACCATATCCACCATTCATGTCACATTAAAAGCGGGATTGGAATTGATTGAGATTGAAATCGTAGCGTAGTGTTAGGGACAATAGTTTGGGTTGTTCAATTTGTTTGGTATCTTTCATGGAGGATGGATGAGGAGAGCCAAAGACCAGAACTCAGTGGTGTGGATTAGGAGAAGTCTATGTCCAGTAGCGGTGAACTGATGACAATGGTGATTTTTTGGAACGAAGTTCCTTATGGGACGATGCGGAGGGGTACCCTAACCGGGAAAAAACGTCCGTAACGTAAGATTTTTTATTAGTAACGCACACAGTGTACGACGTAATTTTGCAATAACGTACAAATTAGTAATGCACAGTGTACGACTTAACTTTGTAATAACGTACAAAAAATGACATATTTTTATTAAATATTTTTTATAAATCATTGTGAATAAAATAAAGTTAATAACTTTGTAAAGTAGTTTTTTTTTTATCAATAAAAAAATCATACTAAAAAACGTATACCCCAATGATTATTTTCTTTATACCTCGCATAGAACTTAAAATTAATATTTTTATAATAAGGAACTTCGTTGCTATCCGGTGTCCCACGACGCCACACATCTTTTTTTTGTGACAAATAGAATACAGCATGCTCTGTCGATGTCTGTGAACGCAACCTTAAACTATGAACCATACCTGCACTGCTTCCCTATCCTCCCTTTGAGATGTCGGGCTATCAAAGTCCATTTCTTCGGTCCGTATTTCGCGACCAGCTCAACGACTTTCTCGTCTTCCTGAAGATTAGAGAAAAATTCAAATTTATTATGGAACGTCCTTGCGAATTGTTCAATCAAAATATGAACATTAGAATTATATTGTAATATTGCAATGGTAACACCTAAGTTCTAAGTTGCTAAATTTATGTTTGGCGCTTGGCAACCCTCTCTTCCGTTCCAGCCTTATAGCCCCGCGCATGGCAAGTTGTAATTAAAATTAATAAAATAAGAATAAACGCAAATATTCAATGTACGACCCTGTATTTTATTTATACACGAATTATTTGAAACATTCGCGGGGTATCTACATTATAAACACTACTATCATTTGATGGGTTCTTATCAAGTTTCACAGTTTTAATGTGTTTTCCGATAGCTCAAATCTATCGATTACATAAGCCATGTTCACGTGTAGACTTGTCAAGTAAAATCATTTGTAAGAGCCCGCTAAACAAAATGATTCTAAAAATTTACGGCTATTGGGTGTATAATCCATCACCCTGCCTATTTCTGCCGTGAAGCAGTAATGCGTTTCGGTTTGAAGGGTGGGGCAGCCGTTGTAACTATACTTGAGACCTTAGAACTTATATCTCAAGGTGGATGGCGCATTTACGTTGTTGATGTGTATGGGCTCCAGTAACTACTTAACACCAGGTGGGCTGTGACTCGTCCACCCATCTGAGCAATAAAAAAAAAAAGTATGTATTAATATAAACCTATAGCACCCGCATTTATTATTTCCATTTAAATATTACAGTGCCATTCAAAATTATGTTTAAAACAATCAATTTTACATTAAAATATTCAAAGTTATTGAAAATTAAATGTACACTGTAAATTCTGAACTTGTACATGAGCAGTTGTAAGATTATTTTGAAATTATTGTTAAGGCGATTCAAGTAATAAGTAAGTATAAGCCGGATTTATTATATGATAGCTACCGCTACAGTTTTATTCAAATGACCCGATAATTAATTGTTCCCTCTTAATTTATTTTCGTAAGCAACTTCAAAAGGGTCATCACGTTATCAAATTAAAAGATTTATTTTCAGGTATTTTTTTTACAGCTTTAGCTTTTTTAATTACACAAAAAGAAACAAGGAGCCATTAAGTAATATTCATGAACTACCATTATAGTTATTCAATATTCGGAAATACCGTGTCAGTTCCTTTACACGCAGCCTCAACACTAGGGTTGTCGTTTTATATAAAACTAGGAAACAGTAGATCAAATTGTGGCTGGTAAAGATTGTCTGAACACCGCCAAGGGTAGAAGAAGCGGCGCACCTTAGAGGCCTGTACCTGGTTTTATTTATGGACAAGATTTAAATCAGTTTATTTTTATACCGTCTCTACTGAACAAACGGACCCAATTATACTCTGGTCTCCAGCCTTTACCATAACCTTAAGGCTATGCAATGCTATAGAACAATGAGGCTACGTTATTGAACTATGTCATATTATAAAGCTATGTCCACTATTTTAAACTGCATTCATTATACTGTGAAAATTTTCAATGTTCAATCCAATCCAACTTATAAATCGCACTCAATAAAACAATATAACGGACAACCCTAACTACGTTATAACACACTAACACACAAAAACTACAAAGCGATTTACAATATGGACAGAAAAAAAAACAAAGATCATTGAATCATCTGATCTTGGAGCGTGCGAAAATACGTTAAGGCACAAGGCAAACTAGTAAACGCGGGTGAGCAAAAAAAATACTCGTTGCCCGATCAGCTGTGTGGGTGGCAGGCAAGTTTTGTTATATTACTGAGACGAAAGATGGCCGTATTGTCGGACCATTGTATGCCCAGGCGCTCGACAGTAAGAAAATTAAGATATGAAGTCGTCGTAGCCTAAGTATAAGACGCCCGGTGCATTCGTATCGATCGACTGTGTCAGTGTTCGAATCATGGACGACAGTACCATTGATACACGTCCTTACGAATCCATCAGATCCAATAACCCTTGCATTAGACGCCTTCAGCTCTAACACTAGAAGCAGGCTTAGGGACCCAGGTAACCGTACTCATTGAACTCGACAAACAGTTCGACGTGCAACCCAGTGCGATCCAGTAGTAGATTCATTCGTGAAGTAGCTGCTCTCGAGTTATTAGGTCTCCTTTGGAGGCGCTCGGGCAGCTGTTAGCAAATCCCACCCCTTCTGGCTGAGCCCGTGCTCGCCTACCTGTCCTGGTGAAACCTGAAAGGCCTCCGGGCCACCAGTAATCCATCATTCATAAAAAAAAGTACCATTGAAATGCGTACGTAACACGCTCTTTAACTATTTTATCTCTGAATCGTTGGGATAACAGATGAAAAGGCGCCTAACTAGCACCCCTAAAGCCTTGTTCGGACTAGGCGAGTATTTTAGTCGAGTACCGAGTAATTTAGTGGCTAAGCTACTCGCTACTGCACAGAAATCATTCGCATTACGGTCCAGTAGAGTACACAAGTGAGTGGTGTTTTGCGAGATGAACAGGCTGCAACGCCACAGAGTGAATAAACTGATTAAGCTAATCGTAATGGCTATTTTAGAAGAGGTGGATGAGGAAATTTCTTTGATTAAGAAAAATAAGTTATGGGTACGAAAATGGATCGATAGAAGAGATAAACTAGGAGCTACTAATTGTCTTCTGAAGGAATTAGCATTTGAAGAGATTCCAAAGAATACTTCGATACTTACTAACCTACTCGACTAAATTTTTGGTGTTCAGACCCATTTAGCTACTAAATTACTCGGTGCTCGACTAAAATACTCGCCTAGTCCGAACCGGGCTTTACTCTAAGACACATATAAGTAATATTGTATAAAGCATACATATATAGCACTTGCTGAACTTTTCATTCCTAACAAGTTGTCCAATTATTTATAGCATTAATTAATATTCTCTTTTAATGTTATTAGGTTTTGTTCGGATAACAGAACCATTTCCACGGAATAACATCGTATAGTTTAATATTTATAAGCTCGTTTAAAAAATCGTAAATTGCGTAATTACAAAACAATTGCGACAAAAACCTTAAAATCAAGGTCAGTATGAGGGCATTCACGTTGTTGTGGTATGGACTCCAGCAGGCGTTTAAAAGTAGATGGGCCGTAAGCTCATTCACAATAAATAAATGTTTTTGAAGACGAATACCTCAAGACGTATCTTTACTTACCTCTGTGCTGAAGTTACGCAAATCGCATTTTTATTTTATAATATATTGGTAATAGGAGTCTATGGGAAACACCATGGGGATATCCATATAGAGAAGAAGTATATTAATTTTTCATACTATTGCCAGAATTTTCCCAATTATGTTATTAACATATTTGTATAAATGATATGAATATACTGAACTAATGTATGGTTTATGATACTTTTTTGATTATTTTAAATAAAACACTTTTTGTCCTACCTATTCTAGTGACTTCAAGGGGTCATACTAGATTCACCGAGCGAATAGGTTCGACTGAGAATTTAGAAAAAGATGTATTTTTCAATTCACAGATCGATATTATGTAAAACAAATATTGTTTGCCTGCCCGGTCAATGATGTAATTTCCCGGTCAATGGTGTAATTTCCAGTGGTTATGACATTATATTTCGGGATAAAAGGTATAGTCTACGCTAATTCTTGCAAAATCATGTCAATCTATTGCTTTATTTCGATAGAAGGACAAACAAACACCCAAGCAAACACACTTTTACAGTTAGTAGTTAAAATATAGAACTCCCAACGAAACAAAGCCCCCAAATTCGCTCTTACCATTTTGAGGGTTGGAATTCGAAAACCTCTCCCCAGCACGCATCGGTACGCACGAGAAATACTTTCTTTGAAATTACTCAACCGGTTTGAGATATGCGTTGCCCTTTGGTTGAACGTATTGTGTATATAGGAGCACTTAGGTGTATACATAGTATAGGATACATCCGCATATATCCTGACACGTGGTGATTGAATTGCGATAAAAACATTAAAAAAAAATCCAATCGTAACCGAGTCAAGGGCGCGCGGCTACTCCAAACAGCTATGATCTCATTTCGATTAATAAGATGTATTTTTATTACTTCTAAATTTTATTGAAGTATTATTTTTATTTTTAATAGCTTAGAAGTTTTTTGTTTGTTACGTAGTCTAGTGACCTCGAGGGGTCATACTAGATTCACAGAACGAGTAGGTGAGCTTATGGGGTTCTGGCATGTGGAAGTTGCTAACGCTAACCCTAGCAAGAACAGTGCTTCGCAGAATCTACCACCAGATCGGAAACACGACCCGGGCTACGTTTGAGGGTTTTTTTATTGCTTAGATGGGTGAACAAGCTCACAGCCCATCTGGTGTTAAGTGGTTACCGGAGCCCACAGACATCTACAACGTAAATGCGCCACCCACCTTGAGATATAAGTTGTAAGGTCTCAGTATAGTTACAACGGCTGCCCCACCCTTCAAACCGAAACGCATAACTGCTTCACGGCAGAAATAGGCAGGGCGGTGGTACCTACTCGTGCGGACTCACAAGAGATCCTACCACCAGTGAAAATATATAATAATTTATGTTACACTATAAAATTTTATTATGAACGAACAAGAAATTTCCATTGAACACTAACATAAAAATATTTTCTATTCTTTTAGACGACGCACCCAAGAATTGACGTGGGAACATACAATTATTTGCATATTTCAAATTAATATTCGTTCGTGAAATATATCATAGTCAATAAATAAAAAACAGTAAACTTTGAAATTATTTGAGACGTGGCCTGCTTGATTCCTCGACACGTGTGTGACACTAAAGTGTATACCAATTTATTAAATTAGTGCAATTGTCTTTGTGTGTAACGCTTTCACGTCTCAAATATTCTCATACCCGATCCTGTGGACCGAATGGTAAACAGTCGACGTCGCCCTAAGCACGTCATTACGGATCCTCCCGATCCATTAACGGTGCTTTTAGGTACCATAAGCACCGATCACAGCCCTCGCCGAATCCGTCGCTTGCGACGAAGGGCTCGACG